AGGAGAAAGCCCGGGACTACTCTATCTATAAAACTGCTTTTGTGGCTTGTATAACGAAAGGATGCAACAGTAATTGCAACCAGCGGGAAACCAACAGACCACCAGCTTACCCTGAATGGACAGCACCTTGGTAATAAACTTATTTTACTTAACAGTAAAAGAAGTAAGAACAAATCAAAATAATAAAGAACAGTAGCTGCCATATCTTTATGTCCTGTCAGCGAATCGTAACCTGAATAGGCCAGTGCAAAAGGACTTACCAGGATAAGCAGTATTGGCTGAAGCAACCGGGGCAGTGGCGGCTGAAAGATTAATCTTGACAAGATCAGTGTCATCAGAATGAATCCAAAAACCAGCCCAATAGCAAAAAACACCAGGCATATTTCATGTATACCGGTAACAGGCAGCTGGTAACCCACTATCGGGGCATCAAGTGTACCAACAACAGGGATTATCCATGCTGGCAAGGCATTGCCAGGATGCTGCTGATGATCCAGCCATTTCCTGAGGACTATCAAGGCAAATAAGAAAATCAGTATTGCCCCGGCAGACCATATTGCCGTAGCTGCTACAGGACTATATGGCAGAACTAGGCCTGGTATAAGCAGCAAAGAAATGACAAATGTTCCGAAAAAATTTACTGACACCGGGTCCGCAAATTCCCCCTTAACCAGTGACGGGTATTTAAGCCACTTGGCCAGGTAAGCAATTGTTATCAAAACAAACAAAATCACTGCAAGCACTGCGGCCATTTCCATCGGCCATTCAGGAAAATCCCATAGTTTCCTTGCCCAGCTCCAGGAAAAAGAAAGACCGCTCAGTGACATTACGATCCCGAAAAAACTAACCGGCAGAAATTCAAGAAAAGTTTGTTTATGTGTTTGTTGTGTCATTATATAGTCAATACTGTTATCAAAAAAAAAATGAATACCATAAGCCAGGCTAAATCCTACATAAAATTGAGATGAATACCTGTTAGCTGTTATTCTATTCCATCTATCTTTTTTAAATATAAGAGTCACATCTTGCACCTACCAGCAATCTCTTATAACGACCTTTCTGTATCAAGGGCTTTTACAAAAAGGTCTCTGGTAAAATGCTGAAACTTACAATCAGGAACAGGGGTTACCTTTTTCAATGTGCATTGGGCGGCAACCACAGTACAAATGAGCGGCGCTAATTAGTCTGGCCGGAATAATACAGCGCCGCTATTAAATAATCTTTCTTATCAAAATAACTGAAACTAACCGTCAATCATTAATCGTTTTAAATTTTCACTTTTGCCGAATAGTCACTTTATTAAATAATGTAAACTTAATTTTATGGTACAACAGTTATGGTTATTTGGTACGCAGCTTTCCATTCTGGCTGATGAAACAAAAACTTCATCGCTCTATGATTTTATTGAAGGTGTTATCCCTGCCGGAGTAGAAACACCCCTGCATTTACATTCAAAATACTCAGAGCAGATGTATGTGCTTGAAGGCGAACTCACCATCTATACAAAGGAGGGTTCGGTTGTTTTAGGCCCGGGAGAAACCTTTACGATCCCAAAAGGAACTCAACATGTGTTGGCCGCCTCCGGCAGTAAACCGACGAAAGCATTAACAGTGACATCTCCAAGCGGTTTTGCAAGACTCATCCGTGAAATTGGAGTAAGAAAACCACTGGAAAATGCAATGGATCCAAAAACACTGGAGAAGTTCATGCAATTGTCTTCAGCGTTAGGAGATGAAATCCTGGGACCCCCTGGCTCAAGGCCGGTAAATTAACATTAAGAACTGTGCTCTGTTGCAGTCAGGTGATTTCCCGAAAGGACAATGCAGGCAAAACAATAAAGTCAATAGCCATGTATTTTACATGGCTATACTGTTATGTATGCCAACCCCGGAACAGGGCGAATCAATTCTTATCGTATCAAACCCCGCTGCCGGCAGCAACGTTGTATATTTTATAAAAAGCGGTATCCTACATTAATTTTTCAGTGACTGAACCAACAGTATTTGTGTTATGCCTGTCATTTGCATATCCCCAATGGGATTATTTGCTGCAATATATTCAATGTGTCCGGCTACACCGCCCACAACTATTTCCAAGTCCCCTGTTTAGGCAACACTGATTGCATTCCCATTGTTCAATCAATCAAAAACCTGCTGCGCACACCATGCCTTTCACTCAAAGTCCCATGTAAGTTGCCAGGGCATCCGGGCCTATTTGATTTACTGAGACCATTTTTTAGCCTACCAGGAACTCTTGCAACCTCAGGTCCGTAATAAAATAAAAATGTTCAGAAAATTAAATGAATGGAATCAGCAAATAAGATGAAGGGAGCAGTTAACAAAGCTGATTTTGAAAATCCCATCTTTGTATTGGCACAAAAAGTCGTTTTTTTCCAAAATTATCATTGTCTGACATTACAGCAATGCTTATTACCCTAATTTCAAATTGCGGCTACAAAAATACCGTACACATTCAAAGCAAGTTAAAGACGATGCGGAACTGCTGGCTGCCACCCAAATTACCTGAATGCTATTCCAAAACAAATAGCTGGTATGACCATTGCAAACTGACAGCACAATAGCACCAACTGTAAAGTGTCTAATAAATTCCCATGGCATCCAAATATTCCAATTAATCAACAAAAATAAAAAGCATGAAGCCAAATCTCGGAATTCCGGAAACCTATTTACAGCCTATAAGTGAAGAGTTAAATAAATTACTCGCTGATGAGGTTGTTCTGTACATTAAAACAAGGAACTACCACTGGAATATTGAAGGTCCAAATTTTAATGAGATGTATACATTTTATGCGCAACAGTTTAAAGACCTGGATGAAATAATAGATAAGATTGCAGAGCGCATACGTACCATTGGTCATTATACAGCAGCCCGCTTAGTGGATTATCTGAAGTTAACCAATTTAATTGAAAATGATTATACGAATTTTCAAAATGACCAGTTGAAATACCTGCTGGCTTCACATGAAACAATTATTAATAATCTTCGCCGCCTAATACCTTTGTTTACAGAAAAACACAAAGATCCCGCAAGCAGTGATTTTGTAACCGGCTTACTCAGCAAGCATGAAAAAATGGCCTGGATGGTAAGAGCTTATCTTGGATAATTGATAAGCCAGGTTTCAGAATGGATGTCATTAAACGGCATCCATTTTTTTATGTCAATATGTTTTGAGCATAGTAGCTTACGAAGTCTACTACAATCCGCCCATGTGCAACCGCCCTAAACAGCCCCTGCGACATTTAAAGAGCAGCGCCGTCAATCAGCGATATATCGCGAACTTCCAAAATCCCTAATGCTTTCTAATTTATTAATATTCAATAACATACATTATGGCATTTGTTTTGGAAAGCACTAATAAGTCTTTACGTAAATCAGCTTTTAATCCATTACTCTAGCTCTCAGTATCAACAATTTCAACATCATTAATTGACCAAAATAAATTCCAGGAAAATGCGAACCCAGTCTAACACAATATCCAATTGCGTGGAATCTCCCTCAAAAAGCAAAAAATGTTTACTGCTGAACGGATATAACGCAATAGAGGTGCATACATTTTATAGCCCAACAGCAGCAACCCTCTTCTTACAGGAAAATGTATTAATTTTTGTATGTGAGGGTTCAGTGAGCATTGGGCACGGAAATTCGAACTATGTCATTGAAAAAAATCAAATGGCTTTTTTTAAAAAAGATATTCTGATTGAATACCAAACCGGCATGCAACAAGCAAATGAGAGACAAATAAACGAATTTATCATGGTATTTTTAACACATGATTTGGTGAAAGAGTTTACTAAGTTGGCGGAGTTGCCAATACTGCCAAAATGTGAATCATCCTGCGTAACTGTCAACACTGCCTGTATGTTATTATCAAAATACATTGAGTCACTGCAGCCGTATTTTCAACAACCTGATAAAATAGGATACAACCTGCTAAAAATTAAATTATTTGAACTCCTTTTTTATCTTGCCGGAGGATACAACGAAATTCTGGAACAGGTGCTTGATCTAAGAGAGCATTACAGGAATAATATTACCGAAACAGTTGAGCAGAATATTATGAATTCCCTTTCACTAAGCCAATTGGCAGTTATGGCCGGAAGAAGCTTATCGAGTTTCAGAAGGGATTTCATGGCTATCTACAATATGCCGCCGTCACAGTGGATAAGAAAGAAAAGACTGGAAAAGGCGCAGGAACTTCTATCATGCACCACTATGACCATAACAGATATTTGTTACACATTAGGCTTCGAAAACATTGCCCATTTTTCAAGACTTTTTAAATCACAATTCGGGCATCCCCCATCCGAATTTCGGCTAAATGTTCTTGTGGCATAAGCTATCATTAATCCGGACTAAAAGCGGCTCTTTACTTTAGATTTAATTGAAATTTACTGTGTCATTATTTAACTAAAATGCTCTTTCCGGATACCGAGGCGTTTCATCCTGGAGTGAAGAGTACTTGGTGGAATGCCCATCAGCTCAGCTGCCCCACCTGCACCGGAGACTCTTCCTTTTACCATCTTCAAAACTTTCAGGATGTATGCTTTTTCATTTTCATCAATGGTGCCAATTACAAATTCGTTTGCGGTGTCAGGAGCTTTCTGCGGCGAAGATAGTTGAACGGTATTCAATGATGACCCGGGGGTCAGCAGCACGGCTCTTTCAATAACATGCTCTAATTCGCGTATATTTCCTGGCCACGAATAATGGGAAAGCTCGGAAAGTACAGAAGAGGAAATGGTTAGGAGTGGCCTTTCCAATTTAATGCAAAATTTTTCAACGAAATTCATTGCCAGCAACGGTATGTCTTCCTTTCTATCACGAAGAGGCGGCAAATTAAGTGAAAATATATTCAGGCGATAATACAAATCCATTCGAAACCGGCCCTCCGCTATTTCATTTTCAAGATTACGGTTTGTTGCAGCAAGTATTCTGACGTTCAGTTTGATAACATCTTTTCCGCCCAATCTTTCTATTTCGTTTTCCTGCAACACGCGAAGCAACTTTACCTGCAGTTCCAGTGGCAGTTCACCCACTTCATCCAAAAATATAGTCCCATTTTGCGCCTGTTCAAACTTTCCAATTTTTCGTTCAACGGCGCCGGTGAAGGCACCCCTCTCATGCCCAAACAAAATCGACTCTATTAGATTTGCCGGCAGTGCAGCACAATTAACTTTAACGAAAGGCGCCGATTTTCGCTTTGAAAAGGCATGTACGCATTGCGCAATTTTTTCCTTACCCGTACCACTTTCACCCAGGATTAGCACACCGGTTTCCGTTGGTGCAACAATCTGCACATGTTGAAGAACTGTTTTAAGTTTTGCGCTATTCCCGATAATCCCTTCAAACTTTCCTGCATCATCATCACTATTTTCATTTGAACTTTTTTCTTCTTTTTCCGCAGTTCGTACACCCTCCAGTGGGGTGGCATTTTCATATTTATTACCCAGGGATATATGACTTTGCTCCCGCCTGTAACGGGCAATCTCCAGCATCACAAGAACATCTTTTTCACGAACCGGTTTTACAAGAAAGCCATCAGGCAAGGTTTCTTTTGCTGCATTGAGCGTGGCCTGGTTTGAATTGGCTGAAAGATAAATGAAAGAAATATGATCTTCCCTTAGCTGGTAAGCAAGGTCAATGCCGGTAAGCGGGCCTTTTAAAAATATATCCAGAAGAACAAGGTCTATTTTTTTTCTTTCCAGTATTATCTTAGCATCTTCTACAGACCTCGCTACGCCGCAAACTTCATAGCCAGCCTTCTTCAACATGCGTTGCAGGTTCAGCGCCTCTATTGACTGGTCTTCAACAATAAGAATTTTCTCGTTCATATTTTAACTTCATTTTCCGGTATTATTCTTTCTTCACCCTGCTGAAACGGCTTAGTTGCATTGAACACACCTGTTACCAATGTGCCCTTTCCCGATTCCGTTGTTATTACTCCTTCAATATCGTCCACAAGCCCCCTCATCAACTTAAAGCCCAATCCGGCTGTTTCTTCCGTATCAAACCCCAAAGGCAACCCAATTCCATTGTCAGCCATCACTAATTTCACCGCTTTATTTCCAGGCTGCGTTAATGTGATTGCTATTTGGGGACAGCCTGTTCCTGCGTTAAAGGCATATTTGATAGAATTCGTTACAGCTTCATTAACAATCAGTCCAACAGGTATGGCTTGCGACACATCAAGCTCCACATCGGCCACCTGCAAATCGAATCGTATTTTATGTTCGGGATTATAAATTGCCTGCAGGTGCGCCGTAAGCTCAATCAAGTAAGGCTGCATGTTGATTGATGCAATATTATTCCGCTGATATAGTTTTTGGTGAATGAGGGACATAGCATAAATCCTGTTTTGGCTGTCCTGTATAGCCGATAAAGCTTCTTCCCCCAGATTTTCCGATTGTAGTTCGAGCAGGCTCACCACAGTTTGTAAATTGTTTTTAACCCGGTGATGAACTTCTTTGAGCAGCCATTCCTTTTCTGTGACCAAATGCTCCAGCAATTCATTCTTATAACTTATTTGTTTATTAGCACGCTGCTTGAGTTTGAACCTGTTGAAGAGAAGCCCGATAATTATTAAAAGCAACACCGTGCTGGCAATCAGGATAGTTTTAATCACAGTGTTTTGTTTCAGTTCAGCCTGCTGTGCAACACCCTGCTTTTGGAGTATTTGAATATCCTGGTCTTTCTTTTTTGTTTCGAATTGAACTGTTAGTTTATCAAGTTGTATTCTTTGTTCCATATTGATATCTGAGTCGTGATGTAACTGATACTGCAAATGATTTTCCAGCGCAGATCTGAAATTACCATTAATGGAGTCAATCTTGTACTGCAATAAAAATTCGGTTGCCTTTATGTTACGCAAGGACCGTGGGCCTGATAAGCCTTGTTTCAGAAACAAACGTCCCTTAGCCGAGTTCTTTTGCTCAACGTAATATCTTGCAATTTCAAGAAAGTCTTGCGAAAACTCTCCATAAGTATCCGCCATAGGGTTGGTTTGTGCCAGGTAAAGTAAATTCATAAAATACCTGTCAGCCGATGTTGCATTGCCGAGTAATTTAAAACATTTCCCTTTCAGCATTGTAATCTGCATTTGTTCCCATAAAGTAACCGGTGGAAATTTTCGGGTAACAGAATCTATCAGTACCAATGCATCTTTTGGTTTATCCAAATCAAAAAGAATTTCCGGTGCGACTAATAAGTTTTTATACCAAAACAAATGATTCTCATTTTGTCCTTCTGCAATGGCTTTCTTAAACCATTCAAGTGCTTCTTTCTCTTTTCCCAAGTCGCCATAACTATTTCCTATCCGAAACATAAAACTTCCCGATACTGCGTAAATTTTAGACCAACGCATATTCTGTATAGCTAATGTGGCATGATTTAATTCTTCTATATAATTGTTGCCTTTAGTTGCAAACCAATAAGACAAGAAATATTCCGCATAAAGTACATGTTTAAATCCTGCTGAATGCATTAGCGACAATACACTACTTAGTGCGGTTTCGGAAAAATCAATATCCCTTTTTGTATTGCATAAGCAAATTTCAAGGGACAATTCAATTTCTTTTTCTTTTATACCTGCTTTCACATATTCCGCCAGTGATTTTTGATAATAGAACCGTTTTAGAGAATCACCATTTGGAGCATATTTGCCAAGATAATGATATGCACGGGCCACACTTATTACATCTCCGGTTTGCCCGCTCAGGGAAAGTATTTCGTTGATCGCCTTTCTGCTGTTTGCAGTGTCGCCCCGCTGAAAAAATAATTCCCCTTTCAAAAACCTCCATTTCTGCTGGTAGTCAAATTGCCTTTGATAGGAATTTATAGTTGAGGCATATTCTATGTAAACTGCTGCACTGTCCAAATCTGCATGGTGTTTTCCGGGTTGATGTAAATACCAGATAGCCAGCCCAAAAAGGAAGCTCATTTTGTTTTCAGTCTTTGTACTGTTTAGCAATTGTTTTACCCGGGTAATATTACCTGCGTTGATTTCACTGGTGAATACAACTTCATCTTCTAAAATACCTTCAGCGTAGGGCAATAAAAACGGCAATCCGGTTATCCGGCAAGCCATTAAAGTCAGGCTATCCTGGTCCAGATTATTTTGTGAAATAAAGTTCTCAAACTGCAGGGTGCTTGCCAGCAACAAACGTTTTTGTGCAATACTGTAGTTTTTTACAGTTTCGCCGGCTGAAGAAACCTGGCCAAAGCTGTGGCTGAAAAAAGCAAGCATAATTGATAATGCAGCCAGTTTCATCATACTTGTAGGTTAGGTTTACTAATTATAGTTGTACCCGGCATCTTCAATGCCTGGACCTATTTCATCTTTTGAATCCGGTGTTGAAAATGCAATGACATTTTCGCTATAAGGGCAATCTTAAGCCATATTTCCCTTTTCTACAAGTGACAGGGCATGAACTTCAAAACAGCATCCTACACTCCTTTGGTGGCTGCTTGTCCCACCTGCTGCTTCCAAACTGACACTCTAAAAGGCCTGGCATACTCCACTTATTGTATTCTTCTGCAGGCTTTAATCCACAAGCAATGATGGGTTGTCACTACAATTGAACGAGATGGGTACCCGTTTTACTGGCTAAAATTTGATACACTAAATGTCAGGGCTAAGCGGAAAAAGTGTTTGTAGGTTGACAGGAAGTGTCGGCCTAATAAAACTGAATGATACCAATGTCTGTATTTCTTTGTATGACTGATTCATTTTGAAACCAGATAGCCTTAATAACATTCTATGTTTACTATATTGACCTCGTTAAACAGATAGCGCACAGGGCCGCCGGTCGATACAGTGTTTTAGCTTATCATGTCTTTTTCGGAAAAAACTTATCTATTTCAAGGCTAAATGCACCCGAATTATCGCTTACTAAATATGTTTTTCTTTTGTGCTACCTGTTTTCATGCTTTTAACATGATGCTATACATACCACCGTACAGCTTACTTCTTACAGTGCCAATTTCTGAGCAAAACTCCTGAAACAATGTACTATTGCGAGCTAAAACCTAACCAATGCTGGTTAAAGTTAAAGTAAAAATACCGCCGGGAACCTGAAGCCTGTCAAATTTCCAGCTTTAAAATGCAATTTTATCCTAGTTTTCTGCAGGTTCGTTTAACAAATTGACGTCATCGCATTAAATTTCTGTAACAGTTCAAACCTGCATGTATATTTAACTCTTGCCCGGTAGTAAATTTAACTGTCTAACGGAGATGAGGGTAGCATATCCTCCACTCACTTTCAATATTTTTAAAACTTTCTCCAAACCCTTATCTCCAAATATGTTACTGTATAACATCAGATCATTACTTCTACATTACCCTCAACAGACAAAAAACTGCCATCTGGTCTGGAAATATTGCTGTATACCTTTCTCCTGTCAAGATCTAAAACCTGCGCCATAGTAACCCCGCTAGACGCTTTCCAGGTTAGCAGATATCCATTTGTATAAACATTATAGATATTTGCCTTAAATTCTTCATCCAGCTGATCAAAAGAAATACTTCCAGTTGATAGGACCCGCAATTCAAACGGTAATGTAAAGGTTAGCCAGACTTTATAATCTCCATAGTCTAATCCGATTTTCATTCCTGTCAAGGCATCACTGAGTGCTGGCTGTTCCGAAGGACTTGATTTTGCTTCCTCAACTGACTGAATGCTTCCTGTCAAATGAATAAATTGTCCGTCGGGCATTGTAATTACGCTATGCAATACTTTACTGAAGTGATTTTCTAAATGACTAACTGTGGCACCTGATTTTTCCTTCCATTGTATAAAATAAATGCCTGGCCTCAAAAGGACCGATTTTACGGACACTGTTTCCATATATCCATTTTCTACCAGTCCGGCACCTTCAATAATTCTAAAGGTCATAGTTGTGTCTGATTCAAAATAAAGTTCGGTGTTCAAATTACCCACACTCACCAGCAAACGGCTTCCGCTAAGTTTACTACCAGGAATTGATTCTGACATAAAGGCGTTGTAAAAGGTTTCTATATTATCATTACCTTGCTCCAAATGAAGTCATTCCATTTCTATTCTTACTCTCAGACGCTGAGACTTCGTCTTGAATCACATCCCAGTGTTCGATGATTCTACCATTTTCAAAACGGAAAATATCAACAATAATTTGTGGATTGGGCCCCCATCCGGTAACCCTGCTGTGGGCAATTACCAAATCATTTTCCTCGATCAAAATACCGGTTTCATAGATGAAGTTATCAGCAATAAAGGGCAGAACATCCCTGATTCCTTCCAATCCATCCCGCATCGTTGGATTATGTTGAATATACGGTTCAGACCAATAACGGTCTATTGCTGAAAAATCTCTTTCCACAAAGAGCTCCTTCATTGCTTTCATGGCAATTTCCTTATTTTTCATAATTCTTATTTTCCCAACTATTTGCCCTGGCAGGGGCAATGGATTAAATATTGCGGTTACTATATTTTGCGCCCAACTGCGCCGTAATTGTGCAACGCCGGTTACGGCGCTCTGCGCTATGATTGCAGTTTACACTGGGCAAATATGCAAAATCAATGCTTTATCCCTGGCGGAACTCAGACCAGTTCTTGGTCCATAGAAATAATTGCAAATTTTCAGCATGGATAAATTATATACTATGCAAATATTAGTTAATGTGCATGCATGTTTGTTGCAGTTTTCCCAACAACGAAACGCACTAGTTTACTATCAATAACTTTATGTGTCGGGTCGGCCAATTCTATAAGAATTTTATGTGGTCCAGCCGCCAGGCCCTGAATTATCAGCGCTTCATTGCTGGCATCTGCCCAATGCCAGCTGGCGTCATCTACTGTCACATGAATATGGCCAATCCGGGGTGAAACGCTTAGTGCCCCGGCACCATAAACGGGACTGATTCTTAGATTCTCCGCCCTGTACTGAATCACCACTAAACCACCCGCAAGCTGTTCTGCCAATGGTGCATCTACTATTAACCTGGCCGCAGGTTCCGAGCTCAAAACAACCACTGGAGCTGCACCGCGTATCTCCTTCGCGGATGCCTGACCAAGCGCATCAGTACTTAATTTAATAATAAAAAAGGTAAAAGTGAGTAGTTTACAATTGATTGTCATAATTATTAAAATTTATAAGTTAACCCTTCCCAATACGAAAACTTTGCTCTCCAGCGAAAAAAACTATTCGTATAACAAATTGCCAGCAAAAATTCAATCAATAAAAATGTCAGGTTATCCTACAATTACATATATACCGGTCTGCCGGCCCTACCAATCAAAAACCTGATTACTTTTCTGTATATCCTTATTTGCTATCATCAATTCAACCAATTATTCACTTATAAAATTGAGCAATTATACAGGAGCGCATTTGCCTTTGCCATCAATAGTATTTGATTTTCCAATTCACATACAAGTTCTGCCTCACCCCGGAATTTATGTTCAATAAAAATGGCTCTCATTGAACAAAATGAACATTTTGTTCTCAGCATTTTTGCACATGGCCCCAGCAGTCACACCCATTTCCATAACGGGGCAGCTATCATTCAGAAATTTTAAAATAGCAATTGCCCAATAAGGTCAGTTCTTCAGATTTAAACTTCCTATTATGAGCCAACGCTTATTTTACTTAGTCCTTTCGTATTTTTTCAGTGGTGTATACATTCATTTGAATGCACAAACAAATCAAACAACCAGTATTTTTCGTATTTATGAAGACAATGACTTCATAAATATAAGAGGCAAAGGAACGGATAAGGCATACAGTGGCGGCACCCGGCTTGATCTGTTTTATGAGCAAAAAACAAAGCCTCAGCTATTTCCCGGAATGCTGCTATCAAAAAATGACAGCGCTGTATTTACCGGGTCGTGGGGAATAATGCAAATGGTTTTTACACCCAACAACATTAAAGACCCTTATTTTGAACCGGACGATTATTTCTATTCCGGCGCATTGTTCATTATTCATTCCCTGACCTCCTATAGTCCTGCACGGCGATACAGTTTCCAGGCAGAACTGCAATTGGGTGTACGGGGGCCAGCCGCGTTGGCAAAGCAAACTCAAACATTCGTACACAGAATCATCCACTACACAATTCCTATGGGATGGGACAACCAACTACAAAATGCACCCATAATCAATATGAATTTTGGACTCGAAAAACAGGTTACCAAATCCAATAAATACTTCGAGCTGCTTGCTGGTGGTAAAGTGTACCTGGGCACCATGCGAAATGGACTAACCTTTTCTCCTAAATTCCGCTGGGGGCTAATGACCCCATATTTTAACGGCTATAACAGTCAATTCACCAGGTCAAAAGGGAAAACAAATAAAATTCAAGCCTATATTATAATTACACCAGAGATACAATTGAATTTCAGCAATGCGTTGCTTGAAAGTGGTGCATTTGCAAAAACGTCACCAGTAAAATTTAATACCCAGCAGTCACTTATACCTTCAATGACCAATAGCTGCTTAGACCCACGTATTCGCAGATGGGTTTATGCTGTAAACTATGGAGCGGTGCTGTCTTCAGGAAAATTGGCCATATCATTTGTACAAAATGCTTCTACAGAAATGAGAAAAGGTACCTATAGCCATGAGGTGGGGAATATTTCCCTATTTTTTTTGCTATAATCCAGTTTAGGAATTTAGGTAATAATAAGCAATAGGCTATTAGACCGCCCATCAATGTATTTTTATCAGTCACTGACTCCAAAAATCAAACTATTTGAGTTAACTATTGAAGTAGATCCGGACATAATATTCCAATTTTACACTTGCAGCATAAAATTAAAATAAGTTGAAAAAACCTGCAAAACAACAATGCTGGGACTTATACAAATCAACAGGAAATAGGAATGCCAGTAAACAGCGGCGCAAACACTTTTTGGCAGTATACAGTTGTTTTTATGGTGAACAGGCGATTGTTTCCACAATTGCCTGAATTTTTATATTCAAGAAACCTGGCCCTTTGCAACACAAACATAATCTTTCACCTATTGAACGTGCTCTTCAGCAGCTATTGTAAATCACTGATGCCGCTTCAGCAGCCATGGGAACAAAATCCACCTGGATGGCTTTTTTCAGGAACAGGAATTTGAGCAATGATTTGAATTCCGCCAATGTCTTCCCGGATTGATGGAAGGCTTTTTGAATATCATCCGCAGCCGATAATATGTCCAGCAATCCACTCTCCTGTTCGCTCAGCCCCATTCCGTCTCCGGATATCCGATTGACAGCAAGGCTTTGTATATCGTCCTCGTTCATACTGTCTATTGTAAATAAGGCACCAAAAACAGACTGGCTATCCACATACTTCTTTTCGTGACTTGTAAAGGGCTGTTCATTGTTCAGCATCATTTCCAGCTCTTCCCTCAATTGACCCATCATGGCATCTACGGCCTTTTGCTTATCAAATGCGGGTGTATAATCGAAAAAGATCTCCCTGAAATAAGCATTTTGTTCTATCCTGCGGGAGAGCTGCCGGATGATATCTATTCTCAATACCGGATTAAAGCCCAGGGTGACGTGAATGGAAGGCTCTCCCTCACAGAATGCTTCATGTACCAAACCCCTGGGAACGTATAATACATCACCTGGTTGCAGCTGTAGTTCCTGGGCGGGTGCTGACTGCAGAAAATGATCACGGTGCACCGATGGTATTGATCCCTGAATGGGCGCCTGCACAGGAATATCCTTGTAGATATTCCATCTTTTGCTTCCATTTATCTGAAGCACCAGTACTTCATGCAAATCAAAGTGAGGAAAAAATCCTTTGGACCCCGGTGGGGTAATATAAATATTGGCGTTGATCTCCAATCCCAGCTCTTTCTCCAGTGCTTTGACAAATTTTTGCAAATTTGGAAACTGGTATTGAGCGCCCTGGATAACTGCAGTGGCCCCCTGGCTGAAGTGCATGAAAAAAGCGGTTTTGTCCAGGATATTGAATCCATCACCTGCCACCAGCTGATAGTCTTTCAAATTTAATTCCTGGCCGTTACCTACTAAACGTATATAAGGATAAAGAAGGGCATCGCGGCTAAAATAGCCGTCTACTTCCTGCGTACTGAGAATATTATCGAAATTCTTTGCTTCTGAAATAAAGAGCGAGGATTGCCGGAAATAGGATGCAAAAAATTCTGCAGCATGTACCGGGTCTAAAATTGAAGTCAATGTTTCCATAATGATTTTTTGGGTGATGCATGGAGATTATCAATAAAGGCACAAACAGCAAATAATGCCATCAGCGCTGAAACTGCAGTTCAAAACGCCCTACTTCAGAATAGTAATAAGTTTTCCTGTCCCTGCAATAGGCAATAGGTGCTCCCATGGAGCGCATAAACTGCAAAAATTCGTATAAGGTACTTTCTGAAATATTTAAACGCCTCGCAAGCTGCTTGGGGGTACCTGTCCCCTTAATTATAATCAAACGATCGATCATTTGCATCCTGTCGAAATAACGTTTTACCATATATGTAATTATTTAGTTTTTATCAAAAATGCCGTTGCATCTGCTGTTGCTTCCGGGCCGGGCATGCAATAGCATGGCCTGTCGCCCGGAACAGGCAAATAGATATGCAATGCTTAATTAACAGGTTTGCAGGTTCAGTGCCTTAAACGTAATTAGTGCGTACTGTAAGGGTTTTAAAAAAACCTAATAAGAAAATTCACCTGGAACGGAGTGTTCAGGTAATTACGCTTAAGAGCTTGCGTATATTTCTCATAATAATTTTAAGTATTAATTACTCGACAAGTTAATCATATTTTGTACTTTTAAATTGTGGTAAACCACAAAAATGAGCAATGAGTCTGTTAAACCGACTTTCCAATTATGATTGACCACACCATCGGAATCGCGCTGTCTGACGACCATGCATTATTTCGCCAGGCACTGAAAAGAGCCCTCAATATGGAGGGAAGAATTGAAGTAATTATCGAAGCATCTTCCTATACAGAATTACTTTTACAGATGTCCCGGCAGGATGCGAAAATTATTTTACTCGATCTCAACATGCCGGATCTGAACAGCACGATCCAAACTATAAAGTTATTACAGCGTGCCAATCCGGAGGTAAAAGTACTGATCCTGACAATGTACAATCAACCCGAGGTAAAAGACGAACTGATGAAATGCGGCATATTTGATTTTATTCATAAGGGGGCGGATATCGAAGTGCTGATCGCCCGCATACACACTGCGCACAGTGAACTGACAATGGGTGGTCAATATGCAGCCATCGGTTTTGAATCATCTTCCATGCGCCCCGGTACAAGGAAAGCAGCACAGATAGTATTTACCGAAAGGGAGAAATCAATATTAAAACTTATTATCCAGGGTAAGACCAATAAGGAAATAGCGGGAGAAGTTTTTCTCAGCGTGCGTTCAGTAGAAGAAATCAGGCGAAATATGAAAAGCCGTGTAGATGCAGGAACCACTATGACATTGATAAACTTCGTTATCAAAAACAATGTACTGGATTAAAAAGGTGTCTATCTCCCATTATAAAGCTTACTGTCGTTTTCGAAATCATACAGTGTAAGCATGCGTAATAAGTAATATGCATCCCAGAAATCACGCAGCGATGCGATATAGGCACGACGCGCATTGTCTTTTTCTGATTGCGCGACATTGAGCTCGGTAACAGTGAGTTTACCAATCTGGTAAAGCCCGCTGGCCAGCTGGAATCTCCGGCGGGCAACAGAATCGGTTGTTTTAGCGAGCGCGATATTGCTGGTCAGCAAACCAATATTGCGCGCCAGTGTGGTCACCTCCTGGATCAATATATTGCTTTCCAGTTCATTATTGAACGCAGTCAGTTTTTGCAGGGCCAGGGCACTGTTGTAACGCGCCTTTCTCCGGCCCCAATCCACAATGGGGAGATTAATGCCGACAGAGAGGGTCTGCTGACTGCGGGGATCCCTGTAAATGGTGCCGGCATCAGGGGCAGCGCGGTTCAGGCCATAGGTAGCCAACAGATTCAGCTGCTGTTTTTGCGCCTTTTGCAATGCAACATCGCGTTCTGCCTCCCTGTTTTTTCGTTCAAAAGCTATGAACTCGGGGCGGTTGAGGCGGGCAAAGGCAATTGCTTTGGCAACATCTATCTGCAAGACCGGAATCTGCTCCGGCAACAATGCGTTGAAGTTAAGACTGTCTTTGTAACCAATATAGGTAAGCAGGCTGAGTTCTGCAATGGTAAAATCATAACGCGCTTTTTCAAGCGCACCATGACTTTTCAATTGCTGCAAACGCAATTGTAATATACGGTCTTCGGTGGTGGTACCCAGGTTGATTCTTTTTTGTTCAATGAGGTAATTGATGCTGTCGGCGCTTAAATTAAACGCCGCCACCTGCATATTGCTTTGTGCATTCAGTAAATCGAAATACAGCCGGGTCGTTTGCTGAGCAATATGTTCAATCTCCTCCACATACTGCCGTTTTGATTCTTCGAGTCGTAAGGGTTCAATTTTTTTTCTCCATTTCCACTCATTGAAAGCAAATAAGGGCTGCTGCAGGCTGAAGAAAACAGGCGTCCCGTTGTATTGACCGGACTTGCTTTGAAAATCATAAAAATGGTTAAGCTCTGTATTCACGGACAGCAGGCCTCCTGAAAAAGGCAATACCTGCCCGAGACTGAACCCAAGGCTGCTCAGGTTCTGCTGAACAGGCAAAAACTGAATGGTGCCGTCTGGCTGTACCACAGAAGTGTATTGCTTGCTGTACACCGGCATATTGCCATATACAGATACCTGCGGACGCAAATCGCTTTTGTAGGTAACAAATTCGTAATAACTGAGCTCTTTCTGTGTTTGCGCCAGTTTAAAATTGGGGGACTGGGACTGGGCCAGCAATACAATTTCCTTTAAGGTTAATGTAGTCCGGGTCTGCGCCTGCGCAGCCGGTACCAGGCATACAAAAGCAATTATATAATTTATTATTTTCATCATAGTTCCTTCCTAGTGGTTCAACCGAAATGATTGGGAGCATGGACGGGGACTCAGCGCGCCAACCATCGTTGCAGGTACCAGTAAGCCAGGGGAATAAACCAGGTGGTAAAAAAAGTGCCAATGGTAAGGCCCCCGATAATAACGACCGCCAAAGGTTTTTGCAGCTCGTTGCCTATTCCTCCTATGAAGAGTACCGGCAGCATGGCAATACTCGTGGTCAGAGATACCATCAACAGCGGTTTAAGACAAATGCTGCCCGCCTCGTGGATCATTGCCTTTAAATGCAGGGCATCCCGGGGAAGCTGCTGTTGCCTGTTACGCGCTGCAATCCGGTTCAGGGTTTCAATTTTGAGTATGGGATCGTCCACTATCAATCCAAGGATCACAACAAATCCAATCGCCGACATCACATTAAGGCTTTGACCGGTCAGCCATAGCCCCAGCATCCCACCGCTTATCCCCAGTGGAATGGTGAGCATAACGATCAGGGGTAACAGCAGGTTTTCATACTGGATGGCAAGAATTAAATAGAGCAGTAACAGGACAACGGCAAAAATTTTCAGCAATAGCCACAGACGATCCTGGTCGCTGAAATATTGTCCCATAAACCTTACAGTAATACCTTGCTGCAACGAAAGTTTTTCCACTTCCCGCCGGAATGCTGCCAAATCTTTTGCCGGTACTTTATCATAGCTAACCGACTGGTAAATGCCGTTAAGATCGGCTGCAATGGTCCGGGGTTGTTCTGCAAACCTTACCTGCAGAAACTGCCGTACAGGATACAAAGCACCACTGCTGTTGGCAACCGTCGTATTTAATTTCGTCTCCAAACCAGACCTGTCATAAGCAAGCCGCACATAGCGCTGGTGACTGCCGTCTTCGATGGACGTCAGGACCTGTGCACCAAAGATTTGCCGAAGTGCCGCTTCAAGCGCGTTGCGTGATACCCCATAGATGGACAGTTTTTGATTATCGACCGATATCGCCAGCGCCGTGTTGCCGGCCAATCCGGGCCCAGGCTGAAAATCCTGATTGGGCAATCCTGCCAGCAACGCGTCCAGATCATTACGCCCTGCATCAGCGTTGATAACCGCCGGTGGCTTAAACCTCAGTTCAAAATAAGGTTGACTGGACTGGAACAACTGCGTAAATGCATTGGGGGCATCCTGGTAACGCACGGTTGCAAGGGGAAAATTTACCCGCAGCCAATGAGCCAGTCCGGCATTGGTTTGCTGTTTTTCTATTTCACTGCTGCAGGCGAAATAAATGTCTGCTTGCTGAATGCTGCCGGGCTCCTGGCTGGATATGAACTGCCGGATACCAATATCGGCTTCAGTTACATTTACCCGGTCACTGATTGCATGAATCAATGACTGCGACCGCCTTAAATTTTCCCCCGGCTCTGTGGGCTCGTTCCAGTTTATCTTCACAAGGGCTTCCTTTTTTTCAATCCTGGGTAAACTGGCTACCGGGATCTCTTTTAACAGCAGCAGGCCCAGCGGCATGATCAGGATGGTGATGGCAATATAAAGGCGCGGGAACCGCAGGATATGGTCAATCATCACATGATAGCGGCTGGCTACCCAAAGAAATATCCGCGTTTCTTCTTTTTGCTTCACCAGGGTATCCTTCATTAACAATTTGTACAGTACGGGTGTGAGGACGAAAGCCACCAACAGGGAAACACCCAGGGAAATGGTCAGCGCAATGCTTTGGTCATATACCAACGCACCGGCAATACCACTGAATAAAATTAATGGCGCATACACTGCAACGGTAGTGAGCACCTGGCTGATGACAGGCCCGATGACTTCATTGGTTCCGGCAACAGCGCTTTCCAGCCGGTTCATCTGTTCCCTGTGCTTCCGGGTGATATTGTCCACCACCACGATAGAATTGTCGATAAGCATTCCGATACCCAGGGCCAGCCCCGACAGCGAAATAATATTGAATGAAATTTTGAAAAGGTAAAAGAAGATAAAGGTGATGACCAAAGAAAGCGGGATGCTGATGCTCATCAATACCGGTGAGGTCCAGTTGCCCAGGAACAGGAAGAGCAACATGATCGTAAGTGCACCTCCCAGCAGCAAATCCTGGTAAAGATTGCTGATGCCTGCATCCATTAAAAAGGTTTGATCCTGGGAAAAATAAAATCCGGCCTCCGGATAATCTCGTTCCAATTCCTTTTTCGCTGCGAGGATCAGGGGCATCAAATCATTCATCCTGCTGTCCGGCTGTTTCTGGATGGTAAGTACCAGGGCCTGCTTTCCATTAAACAAATGATATCCCAGGGGTGGCTCCTGGGTTTCGGTCACCGCTGCCAGCCTGTCCAGCCTAATAACGGTGCCATTGGCGAGCCGGATGGGCAATGCGGCAATATCGGCTGCACCGGCAAGCCGGTTGGCCAGGGTAACAAAATAGCGGTACTGACCATCCATTACTGAAAGGCCGCCGAGATGCGCATTGCCATTTTCAATGACCTGTGCAATCACCGAACGGGTAATGCCCAGTGCTGCCAGCATCGCCGCATCGGGCTGTACCGTTATCAGGGGGTGCCGGGCACCGTTGATATCGACAATTGATATTCCGGGAATCTGTTCCAGTCTTTTTTTAATCGTATTCTCAGCAAGGGCAGATACTGCCAGCAAATCAACGGCATTTTTGGGCACCACCTGGAGCCTCACCACCGGAACGTCGGAGGCATTTACGCGGCTGATCTGCGGTCTTTCCATGCTGCGGGGAAAAAGACTGGTCAGGCGGTCGACTTTTTCATTGACCTCGATAAAAGCAAGATCCATCGGGGTACCATAATCGAAATCCAAATACACAAGTCCTCCATGATTGGTTGCCGAAGATGTTATATTGACCAGGCCATTCAGGCCGCTGAGGCCCCCGCGTAGTGGATTTAGTATATTCTCCTCGATTTCGGGGGCAGGGGTGTTGGGATAACTGACACGGATAACAATCTGCGGGACCGTAATATCGGGCAGCAGCGATACCGGCACTTTTCCAATAAGCAGCAGGCCCGTGAGTACAAGGGCAAAAAAGCACATCAATACGGCTACAGGCCGTTGTATCAGATAACGTACCATTACAACATTTCCTGTTTATTACAGCACCCGCCATGCTCTCCTGCTGTACGATGATAACTTGTGACAGACCGGCCTCTTTCCGGTGGTATGGCCTCAGTAACCGGGGTATCATCTGTAAGCTGCAGGTTATTGGTGATTATGACTTTCTGCCCGCTTGCCAACCCTTCCCTGATTTCTATCACCTCCCCGTTCTCCCTTCCCGTAACGACATAGTTCCAACGGGCATGGCCTTTTTCGAGTGTAAATACAACGGCTTTGCCATTGCGCATTACTACTGCTTCCCTGGGTACGGTGATAGCCCTGGCAAAGCCCACCCGGATTGTAGCGCTGCAGTTCATTCCGGGAAATAATGGCCATCCCCGGGATGGCTGACGTGTTTTGTTTTGTAAAGAAAGCTTTACTGCCACCATCCCGTTTTCATCCACATAGGGATTGATTTGAACTATTTTGGCAGTACAGGAACTGCTGTCGCTGGACAGGGGCTGCACGGAAGCAGGTGTACCCAGGCGGAGTACATGAATATCGCTTTCCAGTACCTTTATTTCCAGTTCCAGGAGCTGAGGATCATAAATGCGGAACATTTCATCACCTGCTTTCAATTGCTGGCCCTGTTGTGTTTTCACATCTGCCAGCAATCCGGAAAACGGTGCCCGGATAATCATTTTTTCCATTTCCTGATGTGCTTCCCTGATCTCCTGTTCAGCCAGGGAAAGTCCGGCCGCTATCTTTAGTTTTTTCTTAATGGCCTCCGCCTGTTCCGTTGATTTATCCTTTAATAAATTTTCATAGCCCAGCAGCTGGCTCTGGTATTCCTTCTCTCCATTGTAACGGGCGAGTTCGGCGCGCTGCAGGCGGGCCTCGATGGCCGTGGTTTCCAGTCTCGCTATAATGAAGCCTGCATTAACATTCATTCCGTTGACAGCATGGAGTTGCACTAAACGGGCGCTGCCCGCGGAAGTAATCAGCTGGTCACGCTGTGCTTTTATTTTGCCGTTGGACTGAATAATATATTCAAAAGGTACCAGCCTGCAAATCGTGGTGGCGACTTTTGTTTCAGGTGCTGTTGGCTGTGCTGCTTTCACAATGATTTCCTCATTCTCTTTTGTTTGATAGGATGCGCAACCTGGCAGTAAGGAACCCAAACAACCTGCGGCCAATGCAGACAAGAAGTATTGATAGAAGCGATTCTGGTAGCTCATACTTGATTTTGTTATTGTACAGGTTGATCAAATCCGGTACTGGCCAGGCATTCCACTGTCAAATCCTCCTTCAAAACAGCCTGGGCCTGTTGCTGTAATGCGTGGATTTGCTGCAGGTAGGCAGCCTGCATAGCTGCTGCTGAAAACAGGGCCCTCGCTTTTTTCAACCCATTCGCTGCCAATTGCTGGCGCAAGGCGCCATCGGACAGCAGACGCAACAATGCTTCAGTGATGGGTTTATCTTCCAGCTTTCTGGTACCATCAGCATCTAATACTACCGGTACAACCAAAGCATCTTTTCCATCTTCAAAAACCTCACCCAGGCCATCCACATTGCTGACGATCATGGGCAGCTGGTGAAAACGCATTTCAATGGCGGTAAAACTGCATTGCTCAAACAGGGAGGGCAATATTCCGATGCAGGCGATACTGTATAATTCCGTCATCTCTTCAGGGGTGAGTTCGCCGGTAAACACTATTTTGCTCCAGCAGGGTCGGGCCATCTCGATAAAATCGGCAAAATCCCCATAGCCCGCCACCAGCAAGCGGACATTATTGTGCAGCAACGCGGCAATTTTAAATGCCCTTATCACCCCAGCCAGCCCTTTCTCTTTTTTTACCCGGCCGGAAAACAAAATAATCTGTTCATTTTCTGTGAATCCGTATTTTACGCGAATGGCTTCCCTGTCAGATGGCCCTTTGGCAGCAGGTTCCAAGATCCCATTGTAAATCGTTTTTATTTTATGCTGCGGAACGTCCAGGGACTGGTGAAAAAAAGCCGCTGCCTGCCGGGTAACGGTTATGACCTTGTCAGCACATTGGGCCATGGCCTGTTGGTAGCCGGTATATTCAAATGCCTGCGGATTGATTTGCCGGTCTGCTGATTTCCAAATCAGGGTAAAATCATCATCTGGTATGTTCAAATAACATTTCCATGACCATGCATGATGCACATACAACAGTTGTGTGAGGGGAAAGCGGGCCTTTAACTGTTCAGCCACCCTTAAATAATCAATACTGTTAACCCAGAGTATAAAGGGATCCAGCCCGGCAAGTGCGGGACAGAGTATGTCTGACACACGTTCTGCATATTTTTGCTGCCAGGGGGTCTTCTCTGCATGCAGGTATAATTTATTTTCAGGCTGCGGAATGGAAATAAGTTGTACACCGTCTTCCACCCTAAACGATACTTCTGCCTCGGCCCGGACATCTGTTCTTACAATCGTCAATGCAATACACGGCTGAGTTTTTAAAAAAGGCAGGAGCACATTGATATGCGTACCCGCACCGAAATGACCGGTCCGGAGTTCACAATAAAACAATACCAGCTGAATGGTTGGTGTCACTGTTTCCATGTGGGTATTTCAATTTTAAGAGCGTCCGGTGTAAGACCACATATCCTGAAATATTCAGCATAACTCCGAACAGCCAATGAACGATCATAAAAAAAAGAGTTCTGGCCGCGTTCATGGTGCAGATGGTACAGCGGTCCGTTTGACCGGTAAAGCGGTTCGCCCAGTTTTTTCAGGCGCTGGGCCCTTTCTGCATCGTCGTGTCCCCATCCCACGATATTTTCATTTTCCATCCCACAAACCCGGTACTTATCCACGCAGAACATAAAGCATCCACCTACGGATCGATGGGTACTGGTCAGCAAAGCAGGATACAACGACGCAAGGAAGGCTGGTGACAAACACCGGGAAAAAATCTTTTTGCCGGTTTCGCCCACCTCCACAAAACGGCCATCATAAGGATAAGCAAATGAAATTGGTTGATGCAGCAGCACTGAAAGGGCATCCTCCACCTGCTGCGGTGGTAATACAATATCGGTGTCATAGAGCCCTGCAATGGGTGTATTACAACGGTTAATCAGCGCATTATTGATACGGGTTCTGAAAAAAACCGGATCTGCACTGTAATGAAACTGGTATCCCGGCTGGGAACTGATAAAATGACTAACACGCGGTGTTGCATCGCATTCCGTAATTAATATACTGGCCTGCGGAAACCAGCGCAGCAAACAACGGAGGATGATCTCAAGATTGGAAAGCCGGTCCGGGCTGTCGATCCGAACGGGTATCAGGAAACTGACCAATGCCAACGCTGCTGTCTTCATAAGATTTCGGTTTGCATGACAGTATGGTGATGGGATTGCGCAGCTAAAAATGGCCTGATACGGGAAAATCCAAACACCTCCAGCCATTCATATTTCCGCATTTGGATGGACCAGCAAGGGAGTGCCGCACCTATTATCCCGTCTTCGAGTCCGAGGGGGATGGCTTTTTTTTGATGATGGAACGGGAACAATCGGGAAAGCGTATGCGTTGAAAGGCGGACATTCAATACCTGCAGATGGCGCCCGCTGTACACCGCTGCCTTATGCAGACCGGTACATTGCCATATCAACTGCAGCCAGAGGGATTGAAACGCCAGCCCGGCATGGGACGACATGCCGGTCTCTTCTTCCAGACTTTCCAGCCAGGCATTGATGCCGCTGCAAACCCTTTCCTGTAATACAGGATTTTCACCATGCGCTGTACAATACAGTAAAACAAACCAGGTACCGGCTGCAGCAGTTGCCGCCTGTTCTTCCATCAGCCGGGTCAGGCAATACCCAACAATCGCCGATTTTAGCCTGCTGGTGAGCGGACGGTGCCATTGTTCTTCATCAACCGCCTGAACAAAAAGTAAAACGCCGCCCAGTCCCTCGAAAATTCCAATGTCAGGATGATCCCCTTTTGAGGTAATCAATGGCATCAAAACATTTTCCAATTGATCAACGATAGCAATGACCGATTCCCTGAATGTCATTTCCATAAATGACACAGTCACCTGCCGCTCCTGAACACGGTTAAGCAAATACAGACCAATCCCTGCCAGACCACTGAACAATGAAATATTGCTAAGTTTCCCGCGAAATACAAGACTTAAAAAATACTGATCAGTTGCTTCCAGCAGATCGTTGACATCTATCTCAGGCATCTGCTCCTGCTGAAGATGATGCAGCACCATTCCCAATCCTGCCAGTCCGGACCCAAAGTCCAGGGGAGTGTGTGCGGAAATCTGGTGGGTGAGTTCATCCAGATAACTGTAAGCAAAATGATCCTGCAATGGATTGCCGGGCAGCAAGTCCCGCTGGCCATAAAAAAGCAAAAGAGCGGTCTTACCGGACCTCAGCCCGATATCATCGCTAAAACTGGCATTGAGCAAACAATAATGATGCACACGAAGGAATAAATCATTTTGCATGTGCGTATTTTTTAGCAGCACAGATAAATATTGCGGCCAGGCTGAGCCGGGCTTCGCTTACAGCTCAATTTGTTCTTCCAGAAAATTCGAATAGAATTTTTTGTCGTCTTCGCTGTAAATGGGATTGCCCAAAAATGTCACATGATTTTTTTTATCAAGGATCATTGCCCGGAACCGTTTGTCCCGGGAAAGCCGGTTGACGGAAAAGAATGTGTTGTTGGAGTCGACTACCACAGGATGATAAAACCGCCATTTTTTGAACAAAGGCCGGATCTCATCAAAATCGTGAATATGGAGATAGAATAAATAGCTGACATTTTTATTGCGGGCTGACTGCATGATTTTGTCCCAGATAATAAAATCTTCAGCACAGGTAAAGCAGGTACTGGCATCTATCGAAACTACTATCCTGTTCCGGGCGGGGGAAATAGAATCCTTCGCAGCATAGAACTGGTCTGTCTCCGGGTTATACATCGAAAGGGTGTCCAGGAGATGGATGGTCGTGGAATCATTACTGCCGGTGAGCACCGTGTTTACATCGTGATTTCCGGAACAGGCCAGCAGGCCTGCAACAGGCAGGCATGCAAAAAGATAAAGGGCAATGCGCATATTAACGGATTTTAGAAGATGGTATAACTATCAAAGTGTCTTTAGGCGGTAGAGGGCAATGACGGAGCCATTGTTCTTTTGTTCGATATGGGAAACCAGTGCCGTATCAAGCAGTTTACGGTCGTGATCCGCGTAGAGAATATCATAGTCCAGATAGGAAGCAATCAAAGAATCACCCACTGAAGTCAATGGCAGATTGATGTTCAAATGGGAAAGATCGGTGCCAAGTAATTTTTTGGTATAGAACGCTTTCTCAGTTCCGTTATAAAGAAAGATGGACCTGACATTACCATCGTAGATATTACCCGTAATATAATCGCCGATAATCATGGGCGTTTTATAGAGGTATTGATAGTTTTTCTGCGCCCTGGTTCTTGACAGATCGACATAACTGTCCTTCACCTGGTCAGGAACTGAACTGTTACCGAAGTTGACAAAATAGCTTTTGACAATTTGTCCTTTTCGATCAAAAAGAAAGAGACTGTCATTAACAGGCTTATTGTACAGAATGCCTTTGCTGCTTTCAGTGAAAAGTGCCGGTGAAGCCTTGTCATCATGGGAAGATGCCCGGTAAGGAAACTGTGCACTGATAATGGCGAACGCAGCATCGGTTACCACTATTTTATTCCCATCGCATTTTTCCATGGAAGACTCTTTGTCTACAGAAAAGATATATTTACCGCTATCCAGTAAATTGAAACCATCAGCCCGGAAAGGCGTTTTCTTTTTTTCCAGCAGGGTTCCGTTGGCGTCAAAACTCAGCATCTGCATCTTCTGGCGGTCATACAAATAGATAGTGCCATTGTCCGCCACATCAAAATCCGTGAGTTTCATGTATTCGCCCGGTCCATTGCCGCGTTTGCCAATCCGTTGCAGGAACTTTCCGGTTTGCAAATCGAATACATAGAGATACGGAAGGCCGGTAAGATCAAGGATGTAAATCCTGGAGTCTTTAATGCGCAGTTTATCTATTTCTGAAAACAGGCTGCCCTCCCTTGTCTCCAGGCTTATATACCGGATACCTTTGACAAAGTCTTCCACATGGAATGGCTTGCTGTCAAAGGCATTGATATTTTCCACTGCAAATGCAGGCGGCGCCTGCGCATCACGTGTTTTTTGCCTGCATGCGGTAAATAGGATTGTACACAAAACTGCTAAAGTATAGCTTAGTAACCTGAAACAAGGCATAACAAAGTAGTTGAAAAAAATAATAAAAAAATAAGCGGATGCATTGAAGCGCTGTGCAAGGAAGGAGAAAAACCCCCAAGAATGGGCCTGGGGGTTTTCTGCCCTTTGAAGGACGGCATTCCTCTCTTAAGAGCAACCATGTGGTGTGCAACTGATGTCATTGGTTGCATTACAAACAGTTTTGTCACCGGTTCCCCATCCTGCACAGTCTACTACCTGAGAAGGTCCTTTTTCACCGCCTCCGGTAACAACTGCTTTTGCTTCGATAGAAAACGCTGTGATCAGGCCGATGGCCATGGTGGTCACACCTGTTGCCAGGGTGATCTTCCTTGCTGTTTTTTTTGGAACAATCATGGTTCACGTTTTAAGTTGGTTAAGAAATATATCCCTGCTTTATTGCAGTGACAAAACAATATTACACAGCGGTACTCCAATATTCCCGGAGTACCATGAATAGCTGAAATAAAATTTTTGCTCCGGTAAAACCTGCGCATTAATAGGCCACCGGCCGGCGCCAGAGCAATAATGGAAGAACAACAAATAAGGAAGCCAGGGAAAAGATCAGTCCGGCGACAGTACCGATCGCAAAGGAATACCAGAACACTTCATTCACCTCCCCGAAAATAAAAGGTACCAGTCCGCAGCAGGTGGATATTGTGCTGAGCAGGATGGTGCGGCTGCGTTTTATAATGATGTCAAGCATGATAGCCGGCTTATCAACCATGCCGGCACGGGCATGGTTGATATCATTGACAATAAAAATAGCACCATTGGCGACAAGGCCACCGGTCATTAAGAACGCGCAATACCCGCCCTGGTCAAAGTAACTTCCGCTCTGCGCAAATACCAGGAACAATCCAATAAATGAAACCGGGATTAATATAATAATGTATAATGGCTGCCGTAGGTTTTCAAATAATACAGCACATACCAAATAAATTACACCCAGCAGGGCCAGCAACAAAACGGTATTGGAAACTTTTGCCTTCCATTGCAGGGTCGTATCCTTTAGTTCCGCGCTGTACCCCGCAGGCATACCCGCATTGGCCTGTGCAACCTGGTTGCTGATAAATGATTTTGCTGCCAGCAATGAGCCTGTATAATGAAAACTGACGATGCGAATATACTGGCGGTCTTCTTTATGTATAACATTGGGCATTACACGGTAATCCATATGAGCATTTGACTGCAGGCTCAGCGCCTGACCGCTATCCAGGTACAGGGCGGTATGCAACAAATCGAAGGCTGAAAATTGATTTGCCCCCGATGCCTGTACCACCAGCGGGTAGTAATGACCTGCGAACGCCACCATTGTTGCAGGAGCGCCTGCACGGGCACGGTCATCAACCGCCCTCAATACTTCGCGCTGACTGGCCTTATACAATGATAAGCGTTCCGGATTCATGGTCAGTAAATAATTCGCACTGAGTTTTTCAGTATTGTCAAACCGTTCATCAATATTAATATCCTGTATCCGCCGGTTAGTGGCCAGTTGTGCCGCCAGCCATTTACCCTCTTCCTGCAGCTGTTGGTAATTATAGCCCTTCAGTACAATCCTGTAATCCGGCAGCTCGCCACCGCCGTTATTATTGAATCCCTGGCCAATACCATACACTAACCAGTCAACACCGCCCAGTTCAGCAGTGCGGTGGATGAGTTTTTCCTTGAGTTGAAAGGGGAATGCGCTGTGTTCGTAGTTTTCATTGAAAATAATTTCTATACCTGCCTGCTGCCCGGAATATACATTGGATACAAAGGACGCTATTTCAGGGAAACCGAGCAGGTATTGTTCCACCGCGCCGATGATACCATTCAGCTGCCCGGTTGAAGTACCGTAAGGCAATTGTGCCGACAGGTAGAGTCGTATTTTTTCCGGTGGGCGGTATCCTGAATGTTCACTGATATTATCAACAAAACGTTTGAATGTCCCTCCAAGCCAGCCGTCTGCATAGGGACGAATATCCTGCTGGTAGCGATTGGACCCGAAAGTCGACTGATACAAACCGTTATACCAGTGGTTGCCGGGTCTGGCGACGGGTAATAAGAAAAAAGGGAGACCGAATACAAGCACCAGCACAGTAAAAAATGCCATCCGGAAACGCAGGAGCAGGGCAATAAAACTACCGTAAGCGGCTTTCAATGCCTGACCGAAGCGCCCCTTTGCAGTTGCCGCGGTTTGGGCAATAATGTGCCCGTTTCTGCGTATCAATATTTGATAAATGCCCGGCAGGAAAAACAGCGCCGAAATGACTGAAGCCATCAGGGAGATAATAACAACCATGGCAAAATTGCCCACTGCTGCTTTTTGCTCTTCCGGCAAAAAAAATATCAGTCCAACTACTGCAGCGGTTGTGCCGGTGGCAGCCAGTACGGCAGTGATGATCTTTTTACTTCGAAAACGGTGAAAATAATCGAGCATGACAATTGAATTATCCATCATCATTCCGAAGGATACAACCAGCGCGGCCAGGGTGTACATATCAAGTGCAACCCTGGTAAGCAGCATAATCAATAAGGCGAGGCTCAGGGAAATGAATAAAGACATGGTTAAGCAGACGAGCAAGCGCCAGTTACGGTAAACGATCAGCAGAAATAGAAGCAGAATGGCCACCGACCAGGTGGTTCTCTGTATATTCTTTTGCATTTCCTGTCTTAAAAACGCAGTATCATCCACTGCCAGCCTGACCTGGTAGCGGGCGGGAAGCTGGCCGGACAATAACGCTACCCGTTGTCTGAGTTTGCCGGACAGCGCCAATTTATTTTCACCTTTCCGCGCAAAAACAAGTAAGGTTATTGCGTCCTTTCCGTTTACCCGGGTAAAGCTTTGAATGGGTTGATCCTCGATCGTAACCCGGGCCAGTTCACTGAGGGGGATGGATGATTTGCCAGCGGGAATCAGTATATTTTTAAGCGCACTTAGTGATAACGCTTCATTTTGTACATGTACAAAGAGCGTATTTGCCGAATCAATTTTTACCGTCCCCGGAAAGCGGTCTAGATCAAGATTTTTCAATACTTCTTTTATTTGCCCGGTCTTTACCCCCCAGGCACGGCAGCGTTCCAGGTCCAGGTACACCATCACCTGCTTTTCCGGTGCGCCGGTCAATAACATTTCCTTTACCCCCGGCAAGGCGTTTATTTGCTTTTTAAATACCGCATCGCAGGTTTCTTTGACGGAAGCAGGGTCTTCGCCGGGTGATCCTGTTATTGTATAAATAAGCAAAGGCGAATGGTCTTCATCACGCCCTATATCCTGTCCGATCTGCGGATAGCCGGCACCGACAGGCAGCCGGCTTTGTATGCGGCGAACAGCAGCTGCCACTTCCAGGCGCTTCAGGGCAAGATCTGCCTGCGGAGCAAAGGATAATTGAATGCTGCCTTCTCCATAATTTGAAACAGATTGCATTTTCTTTAATTGCGGTATGGAGGAGCAGGCTGATTCAATGACCTGGGTGATAGACGATTCAACCGTTTTGGGATCGGCATTGCGGAGTTCGTAACTAATCTCCAGTACTGCTGCGGTCTGCCGGGCATGCAGCTC